TTTTAAATCACTTTTTCCTATATAGAAATTTTAATTGATTTTTGTCAGAATTGAATTGCTGGCATTATTTTTCACAAAAAATTTAATTTTTTAATTTGTTAAAACTAATAGTATAAGTGCTATTAATCAAGATGAAGAAGCTAAATATTGTCATGAAATGAACCACTTTTTTAAAGTTGTTGAAATCATGGAATTGTGTTATAAATTGTTATTTAAATAATCACGAAGATTAAAAAAAATTAATTTAATATAACCGTGGAATATTTCATCCATATCACTGGAATATTCTCCCAATATTACTTGGATATATATATATATATTTTTTGGTTTTCTTAGAAAATCATGGAAATATTCCACGGTGATATTCAAGGGATGTTGAGGGGATACACCGTGCTGCTTGGGTTCCTTTATTATGTAATATTAAAAAATGGAAATAGAAAATGAAAAAAATGTTAATAATTTCATACATGACTGTAATTATGGCGTAGCTAATGACTTTGTTACAAATAAGACTTGTTATGATTTAAGAATTTAATTATTACACAGGCACACAAAAAAAAAGTTGTCTGTTTCTTGAACTAGACATATATTTCCTATAGTAATTTTGGACCGCTGAAACCGAATCTGAGCTCAGAATTGCTCCATCACCCTCAGTTTTTTTTTAAATCGACCAAAACCACCCTTAAACGGACAAAGTCACACTTCGGAGATAAAAAATAAATCAACTTATTTTTTAAAAAAACCGAATTTTACATCTACGAAACTTTGCTCAACTAACTCAAAAAATAAAGCCAGCATTGATCCATCACCCTCTGAATTTTTTTAAATGGAAAAAACTACCCCTAATCTGAAGAATCAAATTCAGGAGGTAAAACAATAAAATAACTGATTAAAAAAGTTTATAACCAGGTATTTTTACTCCAGCAATGCGGAAACAAAGCCAGAAATGCTCATTGCTGGAGTAAAAATACCTGGTTATAAACTTTTTTAATCAGTTATTTTATTGTTTTACCTCCTAAGTTTGATTCTTCAGATTAAGGGTAGTTTTTTTTATTAAAAAAATTCAGAGTGTGATGGATCAATGCTGGCTTTTTTTTGAGTTAGTAGAGCAAAACATACATACATACTACATAAAAATTTTTAATTATAAATTCGTGACAATTTTTCTCAAAAACAAAGAATAAAGCATCTCATGTCACTCCCAATCTTACAAAAATGCACTCAATCAATGCACATTTCCGAATATATAACCGGTTTAGATTTTTAAATGTTTGATTACGGAGATCGCTGAAACGATTTAACATTCGTTTTGGCTTTGATAAATACGAAGATCAGTTCGATTATATATTTAATTAAATAATCAATTAATAGTACTAATTAATTATATTCAATTAAAAATATATTTTTAGATTTACAAATTTGAATACTATATGATTTTAAAAAGTAGGGTATTCGTTAGGAAAAGTGGTAAGGACCTCACCAGTTTTCCTTACATAGAATTTAGTAGCAATTGAAAAAAGAGAAACAATTTACAATAAATATTGTAGAATAAAATCAGAATTATCGCTAGTGTATATTAAAATGAAATTTTGTATTAGCTTGGTAAAAAATCGATTTTGATTGACTTTTTATGTTTATAAGTTTATTAAATATATCAATAACAATCACGCACTATTTGAAAGCGCATTTAAAAAATAATTTTTTAAATCATTTTTATTCTTCTAAAGAATCTATAATATTTATAGTTTATGAAATACTAATCATTAATAGAATAATCAATAAATAGATTTCGAAAATTTCTTAAACTATTCCTTTAATTCTAAAATCAGGAAATCGTAATTTCTGAAGTGAATTTCCCCTCGAATACGATAGTTACGAAACTAACGAAAAATCCTTTGACATTCGTTATAGAGAAACGATTGGAAGAGCTCTTATATCTACCTGAAGCTGCTCGACTAGATATAGCTTACGCGTTAAATGAATTTGTTACATATGAGATTGATCCGACTAAAAACTTGTGGTTATTTGTTACGTCTGTTTGTTGACACGATGGCTTGGTGAGCAAATAATCAAACGTATGCCGCTTTGTCAACCTATGAAGCCAAATACGTGGCGGCAATGAGTCAGCTTGTCCGGAAATCATTGCAATAAATAAATGTTTGCTTTATAAGGGAAGTTTTTTCCCGACGACTTTAAAATGCGATAATAAAGCTGCGACGATATGTACTAAGACTAACAGTGGAAATAATTTAAAACATATTGTTTAGAATTGCATTTGAATAAGAGTAATAAAAATATAAGATTAGTTTAGAATAAATATTCCTAACTTTGAATATTATATTAGATATAATTTTTCTAATTTTCAATAAGGAAAGTTATATACACAAGAGAGCCAGATAAGAAGGCAATTATAATCCTTAAGCCATTAGGTTTAAAAAGCCATTTGTTTATAACAAAGGATGTGGGACAGCCATTGATTCCGATATATTGACTACCCAAGTGAGGGAAGTTGGGGACTGAGAGCCCTGTGTAGATTAAGAATGCTTAGTTTGGATATAAAAGTGGTACGTTTAACATCAACGAGACGTGGCAGATAATTTACATCATCCATCCATCCGAGATTTAAACACATATGACGAATAATCATCAAGACACTTAGTGCAAATAATATAGAACTAACAATAGCGTCGGAATTTCAAACACTCAATAGGAAATATGAGAAAAACTATTACTGGCCTTTTAACCCATCACGGGGACTAATGGTACAGTCACAGCTCACCTGCCTGCTTGCTGAAAAACGGGGCAAGGGGGCGGGATAAGTGTGAGCGAAAAAGAAAATTCATGTTTTTCTTCTTGCTTAGACTCTTGCCGCCCCTTACCCATCTTCCCGCATGCAGTCGTGTTGTGACTGCTCCTTTACGCTATCACAGACATAAAATGGATTTTCCTGATGATTCAAAATGTAGAAAATGTGAAGAGGAAGTAGAAACCTCATATTCTCTGTAGCTGACCCTCATTCCTGAGGAAACGTCAGCAGATTACAGGCTATTTTTTCCCTGAAGAAATGGCTACTGTTTATAGTAGTTTGGCTGCGGTCCTTAATTTAATGAAATAAATTTGCGTCTAGACTATCATTGTCTCTTTTCGTCGAAGATTTTCTCTTTTCACTTAAATAGTATAGATTTAAATTTTTAAATGATTCCTGATCACTTTTTATTATTTGGTAATGTTACGGACGGATTTCCGTAATTTTAAAATTTTTTTTGTTAAATATTATTTATTTAAAATAATATTTATTTAATTAATGTTACAACTATTTGTCAGTTATATATCAAATACATATACAACACAAACACACACACATATTTAAGTTTCTTATACTAGAATATTCAAATAATATTTCTAATTACTTTAACAACTATTTATAACTTCATTTTTTTTATTTATTTAATTCCTATATCAACGGTTATTTCGCAAATGATGTCAGATTATTGAACTCAATATTGCGAATTAATTTGAACTAAATTGTCAATCGATTTCGCTAATTGTGGGACTTACATGTATAAAAGTTGCCACATTAATTTGGAAAATTGGGAAACATAAGAAATCATAAAGGTAATTCAGGTGGTTGAACCGATCACGCCACTAATAAAATGCAAGTTTGCTAAAAACAACGAGGTGTTGATTGCAAAATCAACCCTCCCACCACTTAAAATTACATACCAACAGGGAGTGATCGTTGCCACCGAATTATTCTTCGAGGAGTCTTATTTTGTTTTTCCCGCAGAGCGGATGTGTTTCCCACAAAAAGGCGGATGATTATTAAGTTTTACTCCCACTGAGAGTGGTTGAGGTTCTGTTTGTTCCCCGTAGTAAGGGTTGAAAGTGTTGAATTTATCAATAAAATACAAGTAGATATTCTACAATTAGTGAAATCTATTGAATTATAAAAGATCGTTTTAAAAAGAAAAGAAAAATATAAATATTCAATTATTATTTAAGAGTCATAAATGTTAAAAGTGCAAATTACATTTAAATTCAGAAAGTGATTCTTTTATTTTTACAACAATTGTTTATATCTCAAAATTAACTGTTTGGAAAATTCAGGTTTGGTGAACCCAAACTTCTGAATTTTTAATAAGCGGATTTTTGAAATATTAAAATAATTGTTTTCAAGTCAATATTTATTACAAGTTTAATAAAAGGAAATTTAAGGAGAACAGAGAAAGAAAAAATATACTTCCGCATGTTTGTGAATCATATATATAAAATACGAAGGTCAAATTCTCAAGCGTTGAAAAGTAATTAGATACTTTTCGGTATCATTTATTTTATTATCATTTTGGTGAGTTTCTCTGGAATTATATACATTTATATACATAAAACATACACTATCACACTTACTTCAAATACACGAATTATTTTCTTGCTGTTAAAATCATTTCTTTTATTATTGAACTCTTTATTGTGCTTGCAATAAATGATATTTTTGTGAGACTTGATTTTGTTAATCAAGTAGCTTAAAGTAAATATTATTTAAATTGTAAACTTTTTCTATTAAAAATCAATTGGGAAACTAAATGTAAACTGTTTGGGGGTTGAGTGAATAAATGTAATCTGGTTTTATGTTAATTCAAGTTTCGATTTATTTAATCACCTTTATATGTTTTTATCTCATTTCTTTTTGTTAATCATTTTCAATAAAATACCGTCTATTCGGGTTTATTGAACGAATAATATTTCTGGGTGACAGTCCACTACCTTCTTCTAACTTGTTTAGCGAAGAGCAATTTACGCTTTCCAAATAAGCGGAATTGTTGAATAATAAAAATTAGTATTCTTTCTAAATATTTATTATTTCTCTTTAAATTATCTATCTTTATTTTTTTTTGTTAATTAACATCCGTCTTTAACAGGTAATTTACCCAATAGGCTTAAACCTAGAAGCAAGTGTAACACAAAATATTATAAATATTCAGTAGTATATATAGGTACATTACCTTGTTGTTTACTAGTAACTTCAGCTTGAAATTTATCTAAAATTGCTGCTTCTGCTTCCATAGGCATGGCTAAAAATAATCCTGGTGTTTCATCCTTACTTCGAAGTGCCAATACATAATTATCCATTAACTGTCCAATTTTTGCACTTAGTTCTGGATACCTATTAACATATAGATTATGTTAATAAAAGTCAAGTGAAAGGAATAATTGAGTTTTTTGCAACTATGTTAACCGCTACTATCCCAACACGAAAGTAGTAGAATGGGTTCTCCCCTCTTCCATATTAGATTGGACATAGAACGATGTCTTTAGCTCCAGTTTTGGGATCTGACATTCAAAGATATGCCTTCTGGAGTTGAAAAATGTAACTAGTTTTGGATAACTGATTGTATCAGTTGCAAGTATAGTTAAACTCTCATTGTTAATTATCATATCATATCATCATATAAAAAATATACAACCAATTTGTTGCACATGTAGCGCAGTACCTGGATTTGAGAAAGAAACTTGTACAATAATAAGATTTCTTTTATATTTTTATGCATGTTTTTCTATACTGTCCCCCGTGTAAAATCACTAAAAGTGTTATTCAAATTACGCCATTTTGCTTTAGGACACGTCTCCATGTCAGCACCCAATAGGAGTCCGAATCTTTCCGACACTGGACAGCAGTTCCACATACAAATAGAGGAAATTGTATTTTCTTATGCGAGCACAATTATGCTTAAGGGGGACACCTTTGAGGTCTCTTTTCAACCTGTTTTTCATGAATTTTTTTATGACACAGGAATAAAGTAAACAAAATTTGGTTTCAGGGACTTTATTAGTTAACTTTTTAAGTTCACGAAAATATATTTATACTTTAAAAAAGTTTCAATTTGATGCCTATAGCTCTTGAACATCTTCTGCATATTTCAATTTTTTTACATAAAATAACTTCAAAATCGCTTCTCATAATATAATTTCTATTCTACACATCATAAAATATCATTTAAGCAAAAAATCGATCTTATTTCGGGTCAAAGGTGTCACTCCCCCTTAAAACGTAGGAAATCGTCTTATTTTTTGATGCACAACACACGATTTGAAAGCCATATGTTACAGAAAGAAGGCGCACATTAACGCTTCAAAGATATGTCACTTGAAGTGAATAAAAGGTCAATGCTAATAGCGAAGCTAATAGTTAGCCAATATTAGTAGTAGCTAATTTTTTTTAATCCATGAATTTTGTAAATGGCGAGAACAAATGTAAAGGAAAAAAAATTATTTCTCAGATTAAATAGGGTAACAAAAGTATCTGAAGTAAATGCATTTAATTTAAGGGCTTTAACGAAATATTTTTTTCAGTGTAGAGATGCAAAGTTACATTCAAATCAATAATTTTTGTCTACAATTGAAATTACAATTTCTAAGTTTAGAAAACCGTGCATTTAATATCAAAGTAATTTTAAATTAGTATCTGACATTTGTAAGCGATATTTGAAAGTAATGTCAAATATTCTGTATATGTATAAAAGATAAATGCGCTATTAACAGTACCTTTAGCTTCAGTGTTTGTCCTACAAGTAATTTAAAAGTTCAATCGCAACTATATAAACGAGACAATCATTCCTACTATTTCTTTTCAAAATTATACTCCACTCTTAGTAAATCTAAAGAGGTTCATACATTTTGGAGTAGTGGAAGATTTTTTTTGTATTTTTTTAACTTCCATTAATCAAAATTAAATTGAAATAAAACAAACTTAAAAATCAAACAAAATTTCCCATTTACCCTAAGAATTTGAAAACTCGGGGTAAATGGGGACAGCTTGTTATTATTAACCAAATTGACAAAAATAAAAAATTCAAATGTATATGTGTTATGGAAATCATAAGGAATAAGAAAAAAAATTTTGTATGATTTTTAAGACTATTTTTTTCAAATCCGTGATAAAATATGTCAATTGAATCAATTTATAAGAAAATATTCAAGTTCGTCCGCCATATTACATATTTGTTTCAAGATTTTTCATCCTTTAACACTAGAAGTACTGACGGGACATTTAGTCCCATGGTAATTAATAATACCCTGACGATTTTGATTTACCGAAAGTTAACCCAGCTGAGTTAAGTTTCGGTTAACTTTCGGTTATCTTTTGGTTTCTTCAAAAAAGAATTGATAAATCGACTAAATATGAAGGAAAAATTCATTTTGAGGGGTAAATGGATGATTATAGAGTTGATTATTATCAAAATTATAATATATAATGTAATAAATAATTATTTATTAAAGATAAAGTTTGGCCTATGAATTCTCATCTAGTATTCAATGGACTTTTTTTAAATTTTACATTAATCATTATAATCTGAACAAAAAAAAGGATTATATTTATAAAGAAATGCAAAGTACATTAAATTCAATTATTATTAGTACTAATTAATTAAAAATAATTAATATTAACTTTTTAACTAAGCTAAAATCAAGCTATTCTAATTTCAGAGACCGTTGAACACTCTTAATCAATATAATCTGAACTAAAAATAAGTTTATATTAATAAAGAAATACAAAGCATATCAATTGCAATTATTATTAGTACTTAATTAGTTAAAAATAATTAATATTTTGTTGAATTTTAATATTGCCTGAAAAGTTGAAAAAAAACTACCTTACCGACCGCATACGGTAATGAAAAAATTAGAATAGCTTGATTTTAGCTTAGTTAAAAAGTTAAGCCAAACTTTATCTTTAACTTTATTATTTATTACATTATATATTGTATTTTTGATAATAATCAACTCTATAATCATCTATTTACGCATCAAAATGCATTTTTCCTTTATATTTAGTCGATTTATCAAGACTTTTTTGAAGAAACCAAAAGATAACCGAAACTTAAACCAGCTGGGTTAACTTTCGGTAAATCAAAATCGCCAGAGTAATTAATATTAATCATTGTGTATAGTTATTAAAAAGTATATAAACAATGATTATATACGTGGAATTATACTTATTTTGTAATAAAAAAACATATAAATGATTCATGGGATAAAATGACTGGATGTTATTTCTAGGTATACACGATTTTCGGTAGTTCGTGTTAATACAGTAATATACTTAAGAAAACTTTTTTCTTAAACCTTTTTCAGAAACTATGCTGTCCCCATTTACCCCGAATTTTAGGAAATTTTCTAAATCTTGGGATAAATGGGTCAGTCAGTTTCTGTTGGAAATTCAAATCTATTCGTGCTGTCGATTTTCTTTTATATTATTCTAAATAGATGGCGCATCATCCGTGCCCAGTTCAGTTGACTTGCTCATGTCCATGGCATGATTGATATGTCGTATCAAGTCTCTTAATTCATGTATCTTTTTTGTACTATTAATAAATGTATTTTAACCTGAAATCGTCCTTTCATAGTTTATGGCCGATCGAAATCCTTATTTATCCAACAGTTTATGGGCCCAGGGTCGCATATTAGTTGTGAATAGTGAAAATTAGGTTCAACAAAGAATTGTGGTCATAAGTCGACGGCACCGAAGAGAGGCCAGCGGAAAACGCCGGAGATTGGGTCAAAAAGGATGCTAAAGCACAATCATTGAAAACTCTGAGCATTACTCATGGCCAGCTTAATCACGTAAAAAGAGTTGCAGCGTCGAAGGAAGCATGGGACTCCCTAAAGTCAGTGTATGAATCTCGAGGTCCCGTGAGAAAAGCTGTTTTGTACAAACAGTTAATACGACTAGAAAAAAGACCAAGTGACAGCATCACGCAGTATGTTAACGAATTTACCCATAAAGCAAAGCAACTTGAGTAAGCAGGAATTAAAATTGATCCTGAACTACTGTCGATAATGTTGTTGGGTTCTTTACCAGACGAATTTGAAAACTTCTGTATTGCAATTGAGTCGCCAGACGACATTCCATCCCTTGAAAATTTAAAAGTGAAGCTTATTGAAGAGGAAGGTAGACAAAATGATAAAAATTCGAAAACAAACGATAAGAAAGATAAAAGTGACGCATTATTATCGAAACGACATAACTTCGGAAAAGGTAAACAACCAAACTATAGTTCAAATGAAAATAACTTTGAAGGAAACGCGCGCAAGTTTAATGTTAGGTGTTTTAATTGTGGTGAATTCGGGCATAAAAGTAGTTTTTGTCGAGAAAAATCGAACCGTTCTGAAACAAATATGAGTCATGCGATGATTGCAATTGCTTGCAGTGCTGAATACAAAGAAAAATCTGGAGTGTGGTTCCTCGATAGTGGCGCAACAAAACACATGTGTAATAACGAGCAAAAATTTTGTTTCCTGAACGAAAATAACAAATCAAAAGTGCACACAGCTTCAAAACATGTGGTTGAATCTCCTGGAGCTGGTGATGTGAACTTGAATACTAAAGTAAATACATGCACAGTGAATTCCGTGAAATTGAAAGATACTTTATTCGTTCCTGATCTCCGAAACAATTTATTATCAGTTTCGAGTGTTACTGGAAACGACTATACAGTCACTTTTGAGAAAAATCGAGCTTTTATAAATAGGAAAGACGGTTCTACGGCAGTTACTGCAACGAAACGAAATCATATAAATACCGAGCTGAAAAACATACTAGTCAGAAAGTTAAAAAGTTACACACAGACAACAGAAAAGAGTATTTGTCAAACGAGTTTAAGAACTTTCTGAAAGGAAAAGAAATTATTCACCAGTTAAGTGTTGAATATACGCCGCAACAAAACCGAGTGGCCGAGCGGGCCAATCGAACGCTTGTAGAAATGGCACGTTGTCTAATGCTGCAAGCAAAATTCCCAAATTCGTTGTGGGCCGAAATGATCAACTCACAAGTAAACCTACCCAAGTGTCTCTCACCGATCTTAATAAAACTTGGTATACTTGTTAAGCATCGAAAAATAGTAGATACATGTTTTTTTATAAGTGCCCATATGTCGATTTAAGGGTAGAAACCACCCTCACAATGTTTAAAATATAATTAATTTGCCTAGTAGTAATAAGACGAAGAAACTCATTAAATAATAAAATTGACTTTTCTATTCATAACCAAATCAAAAAACATATATTTATATAACTTACTGAACGTAGTTTTTGACATTCTGAATTGTTTAAACAAATAAACAAAAATTTCAAAAAATTTTAAAACTATTTATGCTATTCGATTCA